ACAAGCAGCATCTAAGAAAGCTACCACACCTAAGGAATCCAGTATCTTGGCCCCCTGAAAACACTCAGAAACAAAGTCAAATGATCAAATGATCACATACAACATACCCTCAGGGGGAAAAAAAAAAGTTTAAGTCTTATCCAAACAATAGGAAATTCAAAAATAAGAAGCAGCAGCTCCTTCAAATAAAAAGGAATCAGCCCAAGAACTCCAACACTGCAAAAAGAATGTCTTTACGCCTCCAAAGAATTGCACCAGCTCTATAGCAGTGGATCCTAACCAAGTTGAAAACTTTGAAATGGCAGATTAAAGAAACAAAACATGTATTGCAAGGAAACTCAATGAGATCCAAGAGAAATTTTAAATCCGCTTCAAAGAAACCAGAAAAACAATGCAGGATATGAAACATGAGATAGCCATGTTAAGATAAAACCAAATAGAACTTTTGGAATTGAAAAATTCACTAAAAGGAACATCAAAATACACTTGGAAGCAGGCCGGGTGCAGTGGCTCACATGTGTAATTGCAGCACTTTGGGAGGCCGAGGTGGGCGGTTCACCTGAGGTCAAAAGTTCGAGACCAGCTCTGTCAATATGGCAAAACCCTGTGTCTACTAAAAATACAAAAATTAGCTGGGTGTGGTGGCATGCACCTGTAATCCCAGCTTTTCCAGAGGCTGAAGCAGGAGAATCGCTTGAACCCAGGAGGCAGAGGTTACAGTGAGTTGAGATCGCACCACTGTACTGCAGACTGGGCAACAGAGTGAGACTCCATCTCAAACACACACACACACACACACACACACACACACACACAGTTTTAATAATAGACTACACCAAGTGGAAGACAAGATTTCAGAGCTTGAAGACCAGCCTTTCAAATTAACCAAGTTAGCCAAAAATAAAGAATCTGAAAAACGAACAAAGCCTTTGAGAAATATGGAATTATGTAAAGCAACCAAACCTATGACTTATTGGCATTCTTGATGGAGAAGAGAAAGAAGTAAACAAATTGGAAAACGTATTTGAAGCAATAATTTAGGAAAATTTTCCTAAGCTTGCTAGAGAGATTGACATCCAAATATAAGAAACTCAGAAAACACCTGCAAGATACAAGATGGCATATAGTCTATCAGACTATGTAAGACTAACACCAAAGAAAACAATCTGAAAAGCATCTAGAGAAAAGGGCTACATTACCTATAAAGGAAATCCAATCAGACTAAGAGAACTTGTTAGCAGAAATCTTACAAGCAAGAAGAGATCAGGGGCCTACGTTTAGTCCCTTTAAAGAAAATAAAAATGCCAGCCAAGAATTTCATATTCTGCCAAACTAAGCTTCATAAATGAAAGAGAAATAAAGTCTTTCCCAGGCAAGTAAACACTAAGAGAATTTGTCACCACCAGACCTGCCATACAAGAAATACTCAGAGGAATTCTAAACATGGAAACAAAAGAACAATATTTGCTACCATATAAGCATACAAAAGTATAAAGCTCAGAGATCTTATAGAGCAATTACACAATTGAGACTAGAAAACAACTACCAAACAATGCTCAAATATCGAATTTATAGAAATAAAACCTCAAATATCAATGTTAACCTAGAACATAAATGGCCTAAATGCTTTTCACTTAAAGCATTTAGGTGACATCTGCTGAATTCAAGAAACCCATCTCACATGTAATGACAACCACAGGCTCAAAGTAAAGGAATGGAGAAAGATCTAGCATGCACATGGAAAATAAAAAAAAAACCCAGATATTGTTATTCTAGTATGAGGAGAAACAGACATTAAACCAACAACAGTAAAAAGAGACAAAGGAAGGCATTAAATAATGATAAAGGTTTCCATTCAACCAGAAGATTAACTATCTTAAATAAATATGCACTCAATGTCAGAGCACACTCTGCATTGTTCATAAAACAAATACTACTAGATCTAAGGAAAAAAAGATAGCTATATAATAATAATGGGGGACTTCAACACCCCACTGACAGCACCAGACAGATCACCAAGGCAGAAAACTAACAAAGGTATACTCTGGACTTAAGTCAGACTCTTGGCCAAATGGAACTGACAGACATCTACAGAATATTCCACTCAACAACACAGAATATACAATTTTCACATCTGTACATGGAACATTCTCTAAACTTGACCACGTAGTCGTAAGTCACATCTCATTAAGACAAAAAAAATCAAAATCATATCAAGCATCTTCTGAGGTCATTAGGAAATAAAATTAGAAATCAAGAACAAGAGGAATTCTCAAAACCACACAAACATATGGAAACAACAACATGCACCTGAATTTTGGATAAACAAAATTAATGCAGAAACTAAAAAAAAAAATTCGAAATATGAAAATCGAAACAAAACAACCAAAACCCCTGGGATAGGCACTGTAATGAATATCAGAATTACATGGACCTGAAAGTGAAAGAAATTTCTTAAAGAAAAAACTTCTTGAGATAGTGCCAGCCAGGCACAAGTCTCACATCTGTAATCCCAGCATTTTGGGAGGTCGAGGCGGGGGAATCACTTGAGGTCAGGAGGTTAAGACCAGACTGCCCAACATGATGAAAACCCATCTCCTCTAAAATAATACAAAAATTACCCAGGTGTGGTGGCAGGTGCCTATAATCCCAGCTACTTGGAAGGCAGAGGCAGGGAGAATCACTCAAACCCAGGAGGCAGAGGTTGCAGTGAGCCAAGATCATGCCACTGCACTCCAGTCAGGGAGACACATTGAGACACTCAAAAAAAAAAAAAAAAATGTAGAGAGCTTTGGAGGCTCAACCATTCATTTGTGTCTGATGAAGATGGCCCAGAACTGTCTTTGCAGGGAGTAGGATAAGGAGCTGGCATCTCCCATAGGACTCCCTGAGTCCACTTTGGTACAGAAATGGAGCAGTAATGTATCAGTCAATATTGGTTAGGTTCCTTCACTTTCATTAGAGGATTTTAAAACTGTTTGTTTGCATGAGTTAATTTTAAAAGTCAATCTATTTGCTTTTAATCAGCAAAATCGCTCTGTTCTCCAAGACCATGCTAGAGAATGACTTCCTGAGTGCCTCCATTTTCTTATCAAAATCAAAGGTTCAGACAGTAACATTTTCAGAGGATGGTACAGCAAAGGATATGTAGTTTATTCATCGCTGTAATTTGTCTACAATTTAACCCTAGACCAAACCAAAACATCATGTATTAAGCTGAATATTTGGACAGTGTTTTTTGTTGTTTTTGTTTTTGACAAGTCCCTCTGCTCCTATAAAATTGCTTTTACTGGATTGAGCTTTGTTGTGATGTCCTCTGTGTCTTACCTTCTACTGGTTTTATTGCTGAGATATATTGAGGAAGTTGCCTCAGCCTAGCCCTTCATAAGCCCCATAGGAGAAGAGTTCTTTGGACTTTAAGTGCAAGAAAGAGCTTTGACTCTCCTAATTAAATGACATATCCTTATTTTATAGACAAAACCATGCAAGTCTTATGAATACCTGGTCATGTTAATAAATTTAATTCCATTGAAATTATTTTCATTTTCATTTTTACTTTTTAAATCACTTGACATATATTTGAAATAACACTGTAAAAGATTCACTATTAAAGTGCTTTTATTTAATTATACATATTTTCCATGTTTTCAGAAAGATAGACTACACTATGGCCTCTGAGGGTTCTTGCCTCTTTGCAAGAATCATGTCTTTTTGGAAGTCCCATAGGGGCTAACAGGAAAGCATGGGGCCACTTAGTAAGAGGGTCTTCCAATTTTAATGTAATGTCACTTCAGCTCATCGCCCAGGACCATAACTTTATTGGCTGGCTGCCTTTGATCACCTTGGGTCCTCCTGTTTTTCTTTATCAATGATGCTGAAACTGGAAATTTCTAACATTGCTCTGTGACTGCTCTTTGTCTAGCACCCATTCCTGTCCTGTGCCATCTAACCCTAAACTATGCCATCAACTACACAAGCTGCCTCCACTCTGAGCAACATGGCAAACAAAAACAAATGAGTTAAAGGAAAAACAAGCAAGATTCACAAACTTATGACAAAAAGAAATCAATCCTAAAACAGATCATATTTTAACTAGATAACTTCTAGAAATCCAAATTGTATCATATTTGTACTTATGAATTGCATATTTGTACTTAGGAATTTTATTTAGTATGCAAAATATGAAAATGTCATTTAGAAATTTCAGGTACACTGAATTCATTAGCACATATATTCTAATGAACATGTTCTCTTTTCTCTGGACACTAACCTTTATAAAAAGCTCCTGTGAAATAGGTAATTCTCAATTACCAGAGTATAAAGCACGGCCTCTTATGATTATTCAAAAACTTCTTTTTAGGCCACAGAGCACATATACACACTTGCCATCAATGTGTGAGTGGAAAGAGAATACATTCTTACATAAGTTCAAAAGAGACATTAATAGAAACACAAATATGCTTCTAAAAACAACTCTCAAGTGAGCTAAATTATTTAAGAATTTTATTTCATACTTTTTAAGCTTCTTCATGAAAATGGTCATTCAAGAGCTACTTCTCAACTTGTTCTATGAAGCCAGTATTACCCTGATGCCAAAGTCAAACAGTACAGAAAAACTACAGAACAATATGCTTTATGAATATTGATGCAAACATCCTCAACAAAATATTAGCAAACTAAATTCAATAGCATCTTGAAAAGATAATACACCATGACTGAGGGGGAGTTATTCCTGGAATGCAAGGGTGGTTAAACATATGAAAATCAATTAATGTAAGATACCATATTAACAGAATGTAGGGAAAAATAGGATTATCTTAATGTAGAAAAAGTATTTTACAAATTTCAACACTTTCTCATGACAAAAACACAAAAACTAGAAACAGAAGGAAATTATGTCAACATCATTAAAAGTTGCTTTTATTCAAAACATGTCTAGATTAATCATCTATATCAAGGAAACTGGGCTGATTTAAAAAATTCCCATAAGGAGTACTTACCTGCCAATATTTTCTTGAACTGTCTAAACCATATGTCACAGTGGTCTTCACTTAAATTAATAAGATCAAGTGTAGAATTCTTTAATTTATTTTGTTCCTTTTTCAAGCAAATGAAGAGTGTGATACCTAATAAAGTACCACTTCTCTGCTGTTTAACAGAACAACGCCGTTTCAGTTTCACAGAGAATACGTCTTTGAGTTCAATAAATTCTTCTTTACATAGCCAGTCATGCTTAGAATCACCTGAAAAAAAAATTAAATTTTTCAATTAAAACCATGTATTCCGTAGAAAGGAACAACAGATACTGGGACCTACCAGAGGGTAGAAAGTGGGTGAAGGGAAAGGATCAGGAAAAATAACTAATGGGTACCAGACTTAACACCTGCTTGATAAAATAGTCTGTACAACAAACCCACATGACACAAATTTACCTATATAAGAAACCTGCACATGTAACCCTGAACATAAAGTTAAAAAATAAAATGAACTACTGCTAAGGAAAAAAAAAGTGTCTATATCTTAAGTGTATGAATAATAGTTAAAACCAAAAAATACCTTTATCATTTGTAATTTTATGGATTGCCCTTTATGCCAGTCCCTATGAGATGGAAAGGGAAAGAAAATATAAATTGGGTTTATTTTGTCAATAATTAGATTAAAAATGGAAAAAACAGAAGAGAGTCCCTGCTACACAGGCCTACAACATTCAACATCTGAGGACAGTCAATGTATGAAGAATTCCACTAACACAAACAGAGCAACATTTTAGTAATAAATTGGTATCACATGAGGAGCTTGTTGGTACTAAGCATAAAATAAAGAAACAGAAAAAAAAATAGTAGATAGAATTCACTAACAGAAGTGAATTTATGACAAATTGTTGAAGGCAGCCTTAATGAAAAGGAAATATATATTCCCATTATAGTAACACATACAAAAAGGAAGCAGAAATACAACTATTGTGAGCTGGAAATATTATAAACTCTGTCAATCTAAAAGGAAATAAATAACCCCCTGAATCTATCCATAATCAGACTTAAAAAAATACTGGCATAAAATTTTCATGACTTATCTTTAAACTATAGGTCAGAAAATAATTATTGTGGAAAAGATCATTTCAATTGACTCTCAAAGTAGACGTGTTTTAGACATTAAAAAAAGACTTCCAAAACTTCTGCCTTGGCCAACGTGGAACAATAGAAACTAGTTTCACCTTTCACCTAAAACTACAAAAGCAAATAAGATACATGAAACAGCAGTTTTCAGACATTGGACAGTGAAGCTGAACAGGGGGAAAACAAAGTGAACCCTATGATAGCCCCAGCCTATTGCCTGCAGAGAGTTTCCATGTCACAGGACAGAAACGAGAATCCTGGTGGGGCCTGGTGGTCTCCCTGAGTAAAGGAGAACTTTGGGTTTAGGAAGGCCAAAGTGACTAAGACCAAGTGAACCCTAAGAGTTCACTGTGCAATTTACTACAGAAGATAAGGGCGAACGGTGAACTCTAGATTTGAAGATGTCCCTCGAGACTTTAGCTGAAAGTATTGACCAGCAGATGTGTCAAACCAGGTAAGAACTACTAAAAGAATTAACAGAACAATGCTCAGAGATGACACAGGTGTTCCCACCGGCCATAGGGGAAAAACATGAAAATGTATATGACATTATGGTAAGTATTTAGAAGAGTCCTTTTCCTTAGTGAGCTGATTAAAGGCTGCTGTGATTCCACCTAACAAAGCTTAAAAGCAAGCCTGTCAAAAGGATGACACTGTTTCCAGGTAACTACGTTCTAGAACAATGCCAAAAAATATTTACAGGAATTTTATTAAAAATCCAGCAACTCTGCATGGTAAAATTCACAATATCACTCACCTAATCCAAAATCACTAGACATGTAAAGAAGCAGAAAATATATGAACCAAAATAGGAGAAAAAGTAATCCATAGAAACAGATACAGAAGGCCGGGCTCGGTGGCTCAAGCCTGTAATCCCAGCACTTTGGGAGGCCGAGGCGGGTGGATCACGAGGTCAAGAGATCGAGACCATCCTGGTCAACATGGTGAAACCCCGTCTCTACTAAAACTACAAAAAATCAGCTGGGCATGGTGGCACGTGCCTGTAATCCCAGCTACTCAGGAGGCTGAGGCAGGAGAATTCCCTGAACCCGGGAGGCGGAGGTTGCGGTGAGCCGAGATCGCGCCATTGCACTCCAGCCTGGGCAACAAGAGCAAAACTCCGTCTCAAAAAAAAAAAAAAAAAAAAGAAACAGATACAGAAATGACTCAAGTGCTAAAAGTAACAGAAAGCAGAGACTCTTAGCTTTTTAGCCCTTTAGGTACAAACAATGTTATCCTTCAATTGGAGAAGGATGTTCCTATGCTCACTAATAGGGGAGGGGGAGGAAGAGAGGAGGGGGGAGGGGGAGGAAGGGAGGAAGGGAAAGCAGAAGAAGGGGAGAAAGGGAGGAGGGGGAGGGAGGGAGAAGGGAGGGGAAGGAGGGGGAGGGAGGGAGGGGGAGGAAGAGGAGGGAAACGGGAGAAAGGGGGAGGGAGAGGGAGCAAAAGGAGAAGCCTTTTTCTCAATTATTGTGGTCATGGGATAGGGTAATGCTAAACATTTTCAGGCCTTTTGTTTCTTAGAAGACTCACATTTCAGGTTTTCTCCTGGTCCACTTCTAGAGTTAGCCAGTGACCTAAAACTCAACACTCTCAAAGTATCAATTCAACAGGTTTTTCACCACTTAATCAGTAGAGTAAAAGTATTTTATGAAATGCTCTACATGTCTTTAGAAAATGAATGGGTTGCCCTTCCCCTGGTCAGTAAATACTCATTGATTAACCTACATCAGTAAGACTTTTCTCTAGTGCAGCAGTTCCCAGACTCTTTAGTCTCAGGCCCCACCGTGTACCCTTAAAGACTGAGGGTCGCAAATAACTTTGGTTTATGTAGGTTATATCTGTCTATACTTATTCGATTCAAAATTAAAACCGAGAGTTTTTAAAGGACAAAAATGCAAAGCACAAAGCACACACTCCGTTAGGACAAGGCTATCACCACACATCCCATAACTTCTGGAAAACACCATATCCTTGGAGAGAAGTAGAATGAAATACATTCTTGGTAATGTTATGAAAACTTGTGACCTCACCAACCCTGAGAGTCCCTAGACCACACTTTGAAAATGTTATTTTAACACATTTTAGATTGTTTGTTCCTCCTGATCATATTATGAAGTTACATTAACAAAAATTCTTGTTTCCATTTTAATACTCATACTTGTCAAAGACTGAACAGAGTCCCTTCAATCTAGCTCTTTTGTTACAAACTAAACTATAGATGTCTTTGAAAGCAGCCTTACTCTCTTATAAAAACATAGTGTTTCAACTTCATCTGGATTCCTCAAGAAGTCCTGATTCCTTTAAGGAAAAATATATTAGAAATTAAAAGCTGAATAGTATGGCATTATATACAAAGGAAACCAAACTCAGTCACAGCAAATCATCAGTGATACACTTGCATCTGGTCAACTTATTACCAGTTATTTGCACCTGTTGAGCAAGTAGGCTTATGGCCAAGGTCCCCAGAACACTTGGAAGAGACCAGGGAGGTCTTACACCCTTCCTCTGCCCTCAAGAATAAAAGCAAGCAGGCTTACCAACGGTCATGAAAAATGCTCACACTGTGATGGACTACACGGAAAATAGTGTTCTATGAAGTTTAAGGAAGCTTGTCTTCCACATGGGGGTGTTGCTTGGCGTCTGCTTCACATTGGTGAATGCATATAGATAAAATGTATCATTTACCCACCTAACTTTGTGGGCTTGGTTATATTTGTGGGTGTTTTCTAAAAATCAGCTAGTGAAACAGCAAAACTGAGTATCTTTCCATTTCTCTTGTTTATTTTATTTTTTTTAAAGACAGAATCTTCTTATGTTTGCCCAGCCTAGAGCGGAGTGGCTATTCGCAGGCATGATCACGGTGCACTACAGCCCTGAATTCCTGGGCTCAAGTGATCCGCCTGTCTCAGTCTCCCTAGTAGCCGGGACTACAGGTATGCACCATTAGACCTACCTCACTTTTGAATTTTTTTTTTAAGAGTTGCCTCTACACATGCTTTTCCTTATTCGAACTGGTTGTCTTATTTCTTACCAATTCTTAAAGCCCTTCGAATAATCTTGAAATTAGTCCCTTATTATATACATTGCAAATCACTTCTTCTAGGCTAATTTTATAATATTAGTTATGATCTTGTACCACATATAAATTTAGAGTTTCTTCTTATGTAGTCAAACCTAAAACAATAAGAGCACGAAGGAAGGAAACCAGAGGGTGAGAGGGGACAAACAGCTACTGAGAGAAAGAAAAAACGAAAGCGATGAAATACACTCTTTTCACTTTTCATTGAAGTCCTGCACTTTAGTCTGAATTTCATGTTTGTGCTTTACTTTACTTAACAATTCAATGACTATTCCAAAGTAAAACATCTTGTAAAATGCAAATTTAAAGATACTAAACCAAGTGCCAACATCACACTCATTACTGAAATCCAGAAGGATTTCCAAAAACAGCTCAAGAATACCTATTACCAATTACTCATACTATTCAATTATTCTAGACATCCTAGTCAATACATAAGGAAAGTGAAATAAAAGACAGTAATTGATGGTTAGGGGAAAAGAGGATATGAAACTGTAACTATTTAAAGGTGTTTTCACTTTTTTTTCTTTTGTAAAATCCAAAGTAATAAACTTAAAGCCATTAGGCCTAATTAAAAAATGCAGTGAGGAAGCTGGTTATAAATACGTCTACATCCAAGAAGAAGGCATAATGGAGTTAAAGAGATTTCCATATCAATTAGCATGTTATGTCTAGGAATAAACTTAGCAAAATGATTCTAGACTTGTGTGGGATAAAGAGCCATTCAAAATCTACTGACAGACAATGAATTGAATAAGTGAAGATACAAGTTCCAAGATTACATATTTTCCATGCCAGTAATCTCTTTATTAAGAGCTACTTATAATAGAACTTCAATCAAAATCACATTTTTTTGTATAAGGAATGGACAAGGAATCTCATTAAATTATTTGAAAATTTTCTTGAAATAAATATATTACATTAAGAAAATGTTTTAAAAGCAATGAGGGAACCAGGCATGGTGGCTTATACCTCTAATCCCAGCACTTTGGGAGGCCGCAGATCACCTAAGTTCAGGAGTTCAAGATCAGCCAGGCCACCATGG